AACTTGCTCCATTCCTTCCCTTTAAATAAAGTCCTGCCTAAGCCCCAGACTCTATTTACCACATCTCCCTTAAGATTTGAGATTGTTCCTTTTTAAGTCAGTGATCATGTCTCTCCCTGTTCTCTTAGTGTAACACTTACATTACCCAGCAGCAGGCCCTCTGTTTGGGGCAGCCCATGATGTTGCTTTTCTGATTAATCTTCCCTTATCCATAAACTTACCTGTCTAGAATCAGGAGAAAGTGTGTGCCCTGGAGCTGGATTCAGAGATCCATGATTACTTAATTCCACTTATGACTCCATCATTACACTATTTTAGGAAAATAAACAGATCTTGATTCTTTCATAAGAGCGGGATTACTCAGCAAGCAAATGGGAAAATCAGCAGGCCCAAATATGCGTGCATAGCAGCTACTAGTTGGAAATTTGAACACAAAAATCTTTATCTACCCCAGTCTGTGGGCCACAAATCTGGACTGAGTATAAAAAAAAATAAAACCAAATACCACATGTTCTCACTTATTAGTGGGAACTAAATATTGAGTACACATAAACATAAAGATGTGAACAATAGATACTGGGGAACATGAGAAGGGAGGGAGGCAGTCAAGGGTTGAAAAACTATGAATTGTGTGCTATGCTCACTACCTGGATGATGGATTTATTTGTTTTTTGTTGTTTTGGTTTTTGTTTTTTTATTATTATTATACTTTGAGTTCTAGGGTACATGTGCATAATGTGCAGGTTTGTTACATATGTATACTTGTGCCATGTTGGTGTGCTGCAGCCATCAACTCATCAGCACCCATCAACTCGTCATTTACATCAGGTATAACTCCCAATGCAATCCCTCCCCCCTCCTCCCTCCCCATGATAGGCCCTGGTGTGTGATGTTCCCCTTCCCCAGTCCAAGTGATCTCATTGTTCAGTTCCCACCTATGAGTGAGAACATGCGGTGTTTGGTTTTCTGTTCTTGTGATAGTTTGCTAAGAATGATGGTTTCCAGCTGCATCCATGTCCCTACAAAGGACACAAACTCATCCTTTTTGATGGCTGCATAGTATTCCATGGTGTATATGTGCCACATTTTCTTAATCCAGTCTGTCACTGATGGACATTTGGGTTGATTCCAAGTCTTTGCTATTGTGAATAGTGCCGCAATAAACATACATGTGCATGTGTCTTTATAGCAGCATGATTTATAATCCTTTGGGTATATACCCAGTAATGGGATGGCTGGGTCATATGGTACATCTAGTTCTAGATCCTTGAGGAATCGCCATACTGTTTTCCATAATGGTTGAACTAGTTTACAATCCCACCAACAGTGTAAAAGTGTTCCTATTTCTCCACATCCTCTCCAGCACCTGTTGTTTCCTGACTTTTTAATGATTGCCATTCTAACTGGTGTGAGATGGTATCTCATTGTGGTTTTTGATTTGCATTTCTCTGATGGCCAGTGATGATGAGCATTTTTTCATGTGTCTGTTGGCTGTATGAATGTCTTCTTTTGAGAAATGTCTGTTCATATCCTTTGCCCACTTTTGATGGGATTGTTTGTTTTTTTCTTGTAAATTTGTTTGAGTTCTTTGTAGGTTCTGGATATTAGCCCTTTGTCAGATGAGTAGATTGCAAAAATTTTCTCCCATTCTGTAGGTTGCCTGTTCACTCTGATGGTAGTTTCTTTTGCTGTGCAGAAGCTCTTTAGTTTAATTAGATCCCATTTGTCAATTTTGGCTTTTGTTGCCGTTGCTTTTGGTGTTTTAGACATGAAGTCTTTGCCCATGCCTATGTCCTGAATGGTACTACCTAGTTTTTCCTCTAGGATTTTTATGGTATTAGGTCTAACATTTAAGTCTCTAATCCGATGATGGGTTTATTTGTATTCCAGACCTCAACATTACACAATATATTTTTGTAACAAACCTGCACTTGTACCCCCAAATTTAAAATAAAAGTTGAAAAAATAAAAAGAATAAAAGGTGATTGGCTGTGTCATACAAAAATACTATGACTTATCTTAAAATTAGTCTCTGACCCATGAGGAAAAAAATCAGACTTCTTCGTGCAGATCTAGTTGACATTATTAGACAACTCTACTAGAGTTCTGCCTTAGTGGTTGTCATATACATTGTTATAGCCATCCTTGAAAAGAAAAAAACAAGACAGGAAAACTGAAGCTTCAAAATCCTTCCTGTATTTTCTAAATATCTCTCATTGTATTGCTTGCATTCCTCCAACTGATAGATTCCAGAAGCTCACATAGTTGCAAATGAAAACATGAGTAGTAAATATACCCCCAAATTATTTCAGAACTCAGCAATTATAAATTGATTTTTATTCATATAGTTATCTTTTTATTGATCCATAATTCAAATTTAGCAATAAATTAAAGATAAATCATAAATGAACACTTGGAAAAAGGTTCAATGTTGGCATTTAATAAAAATAGTTTAATATGTTCTTATTCCTTTCTCATAAAAAAACTGGATGAAGAGAAATTTTAATCTTCATAAAAATGTAAATTCCAATGTAGATCAAATATTTGGTTGTTTTGTTTGTTGAAAGCGTGACTTTGTTTGCTTCATTTAGAGAGACTATAAGATGAAAAAGTTTAGCACTAGTAAGAGAATTAAGCACTAGAATCACAGAGAATGGGATTTTGAAATGCCCCTGTGAGTTTATAGACATTCCTAAAGTTCCATGTTTAATATTCTGAATAAAATAGGTGGCTATGCTCAGGACCTTGGAAGTTAATAGTAACTTCTTTCTTTTTCAGATACTGTGTTGACCAGTGGTCATGCCACTGCCTATTTATTTGTTGAAAATATTGTTTACACAGTAAGTTTGCCTCTGTTTATTGAGCCATTCTTAGCTCATGTGTGGCTTGTACTTCTCTGAACCCTTTATATAAGAACTCTCCTTGTTACTATTCCTTATTTTAAATCTTCACAATGTATTTGATAGATCCTTTAAAGGCCTGAATGGTTATGAAATGTTTACATTATTGTTTTTGAAGATTACATAAAATCAGAATTTTTTGACAGGTGGTTAGCTGATTACCCCATTCTTCAAATGACCATTTCACATTTACCTGCAAAGGAGAACAACACTCAGAAAGGTGATGTCTCCCAAATCATCCAAGCTAAGAGAAAGTCTTTCTCTACTATTAATGAGAAGGTCCATCATAGATTGAGAGCTCTTCTGGAAGTGAATCTGCCTGTATGTTCCCTACAAACAACCCCTAGAGAATTAGCTACTGAGATGGCTATATTTTCAAACTTAGCTGCCTTGGTGAAAGCAGTTCTGAAGTGGAGACATGGGATTTCTCATGGAAAGTGAAAATAACTCACTAAGAATAAGGTTTTTTCATACTCTTCTGTCTTTTCACAGTATATTCTTGTCGCTGATTGTCAGAATCTGGTTTTGAGACTACAGCTTGGACTAAAGTTTTGTCTAGAATTGTTTCTTTATTCAGTATAGACATTTTCATGCTATGATTTATTTTTAAGCCTAGGGGAAACAATAAGCAATGTCTGGCTATCTTATTTCAAATTTGATATGTAAAAATTGTGGATTGATTTTTATTGGAGCAAATTTGCAATGGAAAGTCTTTAGGTGATTTATTTGTTTGGCACCTAATACAGCTCTAAGTTCACAATAGTCATCTCATTTCAAGTGTAAAGCCTCACCGTAAAAACAAAAACCATATACATACCCAAATGTATAGAAAATTTGATTTTTGTAATTTTATCACCAAAGAGACAGTCACTACTAATGCTTTGCTGGGAATCCTTCGAAACGTTGTTCTATGTCCGTGTGTGTGTGTGTGTGTGTGTGTGTATGTGTATTTTTAAATAAGATGATGCATTATACAACAAAAGGCTTTGTTATTTAAAAAAAAATAGACACATGTTCTATGCCTTAAAATGTAATTCAACAAAATTATTGTTTATGATTAAAGAGTATTAAGTTTTACAGATGTTCCATCACTTATTTCAGCAGTCTCCTATTTTAGACATTTTGGTTATTTCCAGCATTTAAAGATTATAACTAAATTGTTATGTTTGCCTGTCATGAACTGTCATAACCTGGCTAATGTTTAAATACTCTACTAAAAAAAAAAACATGAGTATGAGGTGATCAGTCTATGTGGAATCAGCAATCTCCTATGATAGCAGTCCCCAACCTTTTTGGCACCAGGGACCAGTTTCATGGAAGACAGTTACTCCATGGACAAGGGGACTTCCATGAGTCCCCTAGGAGCTGGTTTCAGGATGATCCAAAAACATTACATTTATTTTGCAGTTTATTTATATTATATATTACATCATAATATATAAGAAAATAATTATACAATTCATCATAATGCAGAATCAGTGGGAGTCCTGAGCTTGCTTTCCTGCAACTGAACAGTCCCATCTGGGGGTGATGGGAGACAGTGAGAGATCATCAGGGATTAGATTTTCAGAAAGAGCACTCAACCTAGATCATTTTTGTGCACAGTTCTCAATAGCATTCATGCTCCTGTGAGAATCTAATGCTGCTGCTGATCTGACAGGAGGCAGAGCTTCAGGTGGGAATGCCAGTGATAGGGAATGGCTGTAAATACAGATGAAGCTTTGCTTGCCAACCTGTTGCTCACCTCCTGCTGTGGGGCATGGTTCCTAACAGGCCATGGTCTGGTACCAGCTCATGGCCTGTGTTGTGGGTTGGGGCCCCCTGCCCTAAGAGACAGTGGTGATTAATCCAGGTTGGATGTGATGATGTCTTAGCCTGGGATGTTAGAGGAGAAGGCAGTGAGATGTTGTCAGAGTCTGGATTTATTTTACCTTTTTAAAATCTAACAGAACTTGCACATGGATTAGATTGTGAGTTATGGAAGAAAGAAATAAGTCAAGATTCATCTTTTTTTTTTTTTTTTTGAAGAAAATGCTTTTATTAATCACAACATGAAATCAACAGATATCCTATTAGAATTAAACCAGGATAAATACTGCTGTCCACGAGTTCAGGGGCTCCTGGGCGGCCGCCTTTTCCAGTGCCAGGTGTGCAGAGGTGTTCTCTTCCCTACGCGCGACGGGCTGCACTTGGTCGCTGGCTCCAAGATCGCGCGGGGCCGTCGGAAGCCCAGGACTGTACCGGGGGCAGCAGCCGCAGCCGGCGCCGCCCTCCACCCTCCCCGACTGCAGGCCGAGTCCCGTAGCATCCGGTAGGGAAATGGTCGTGCTTTCGGTCCCCGCCGAAGTCACCGTGATCCTGTTAGATATCGAAGGTACCACAACCCCGATTGCTTTCGTGAAGGATATTTTATTTCCTTACATCGAAGAAAATGTTAAAGAGTATCTGCAGACACATTGGGAAGAAGAGGAGTGCCAGCAGGATGTCAGTCTTTTGAGGAAACAGGCTGAAGAGGACGCCCACCTGGATGGGGCTGTTCCTATCCCTGCAGCATCTGGGAATGGAGTGGATGATCTGCAGCAGATGATCCAGGCCGTGGTAGGTAATGTGTGCTGGCAGATGTCCCTGGATCGAAAGACCACTGCACTCAAACAGCTTCAGGGCCACATGTGGAGGGCGGCATTCACAGCTGGGCGCATGAAAGCAGAGTTCTTTGCAGATGTAGTTCCAGCAGTCAGGAAATGGAGAGAGGCCGGAATGAAGGTGTACATCTATTCCTCAGGGAGTGTGGAGGCACAGAAACTGTTATTTGGGCACTCTACGGAGGGAGATATTCTTGAGCTTGTCGATGGTCACTTTGATACCAAGATTGGACGCAAAGTGGAGAGTGAAAGTTACCGAAAGACTGCAGACAGCATTGGGTGCTCAACCAACAGCATTTTGTTTCTGACAGATGTTACTCGAGAGGCCAGTGCTGCTGAGGAAGCAGATGTGCACGTAGCTGTGGTGGTGAGACCAGGCAACGCAGGATTAACAGATGACGAGAAGACTTACTACAGCCTCATCACATCCTTCAGCGAACTATACCTGCCTTCCTCAACCTAGAGAAGGGTTGCTAAGGCAGACCGCACTGTTCCCAGAGTTGTCCCTGTAGTGTCTAGGTTTATTCTAATGGTAAAAGTAACTTACTTAAAAAACATACATGTACACATATGTATGCAAGTATGTATATATGTGTATGCTCAAATTAACTTCCACAGGTACATAAGTGAAAGAAGATTCATCTTTTTAAGAGGACAAAGGAGGAAAAATGAACAACTCGGTAGATGCTTAAAGGAACATCGTTAAGAGGCAATATCCATTTCATATTAAAAAAAAACTTTTTACAAAATGTACAGAACAATTGAAGTCCCAAAATGATCAATAAAAACAACTTACTGATTTTGTCCGTTCAGCTACTCTCTTAACAGATTAATGAATCCATGTTGTATATGGCCTTAGGTTGGAGCAAACACTTGCCATGAACTGAGAGGGGCCTTCTGTCACTATGGGATAAATCTTAGAGGAAGGCCAGCCGTGACAGCAAAAGCATGTTCATCTTCAGAGTACTTTGGGGACACTCATTACTGGAAGTCATTGTTAAAAATTCTGAGACAAGGGAGTTAGGAAGATCGAACTCCCCAGTAAGCTATGAGTCATAAGAATCTTTCCATAAGGAGAGGTAACTTGGAAGCAGGGATTCTGTAGCAGGTGGAGTTTGGATGAATCTGCCAGGCCAGCTGAGAAGCCCTGTCTGAGTGACTGTCTTCCTCTTCAGTTCAGTCATCTGGCTGTCTGGGGGAGTATGCTGACCTGGCTGGTGTTTTTTGGCATCTACTCAACCATCTGGCCCGCCATTCTCATTGCCCCAAATATAAGAATACAGATAAGTATGCCTAATTTGGAGTTTGCCTTCTGTGTCTTGTGACAACGATGTTTCTCTATGTGTGGGTAAACGGGCCTTCTGTGTTTTACAACTGCAATGAGGTTCAGTAGAGGCTGGTCCCCTACCTGTTTCTACCAGATCTATCAGGAGGTAAACCAAATTTTAGCACCTGGAAGATGTCACTCAGTCCACAGAAATGGCATTTTAAATTTAGTGTATTATAAAAAGTCAACTAAAATCCTCTTAGTTACCTGGCATGTCCACATTTGCTAATAAATTATGTGTTAATTGCACATAGTACTGACATGTACAGTTTGTGGCCCTTTGGAAACTGGAGTTATTTTGAGTTTTTCATAATCCAGTGATTATATTGGTTACAGTTTTGATATTGTACTCTGATTAGTAGTTATCCTCTGCTGAGTCACCTATGGAAGTTAAATGTAACAGCTCTATGAACCAGCATCTCTCATTGTTCATCTCTTTGAACTAGAGAGGTTGAGATTAAAGACCTTTATACTCATTTGAATGTCTCTCTATTCTTTTCTTTTATATTACCTTTGTCTAGTGCATGAGATTGAGCCATCAACAGTGACAAACTGGATCATGGAATTTCACAGTATCAAGTTTGGATATAAAGGAGCTTGGCAATCTTGTGGTCCACAACACCTCAATTTACCAAGGAAGCTGTGCAAGCTCAGGTCTCCAGGTTCATCCCAGGAACCCACAGCGTTCCTGTCCTTAGATCCCCAAAACAGGCTGTGGGACCCTGTGCTTTAGAGACCTCTGCAATGGCCCTCCCTAGCTGGGTGTGTTCCTCTGCACAGAGTGAAAAGTTGTGATGCACACAGCCAGTCTTCCCACTTTTAATCTGTTCTCTGGTCTCCCAGGAACCCGAGTCTCTTTCTCAAACAGGAAATGCCCACTGCCCAGGCCTGCCTGGGCCTCCTTCCAGATCCAGGCCAGTTTGCACAATCCTGGGCCCTAGGGGCAGCTGTTTGCAAGGGACGTGCACTGAGTAGATTGATGTTTGCACTGGTGTTTCCACACACGTTAGAAGAGGATGTTCATGCTGGGGCATGGAACCCAGGTGGGAAGGGAAGAACAGTGGGTCAGACTTTAATTGGTGTTTCTGACCCAGGAATACATATTTTAGGGGCAGGCCTGTGCATGGCACAGCTGTCTGCTATCTCTGCCTCACTGTGCAGAAGTAAACAAAATCCCCCAGGTTCACCCAAGTCTAGACCGTGTCCAGCTGCTGTTTCTTGTGAGGTACATATTGAAGGTAGTTAATAAAAATTGTTGAACCAATGAATTGGTCTGTCTTGTGCACCAGGCTATGAGGTCTGAAAGGGCTGGATCAAGATCTGTTTTGCTCATTACTGTATCTCCACACACAGGAGACATACTTAATAAATATGTGCTGAATAAAAGTGAAAGAAGAATAATAAGTCAAGAGTTATAAATCCAGGAACACTCTAAAAAGTCCAGGCCAGACACTTTTGACCAGATAGTGTAGTTAACTATAGCAGTATCCTCCATATGTGTGTTCAGAGCCTGCTCTGAGGGACTAGGCAAATGCAAGTGAAATGCAAGTTTGCCAAAAGGTTTCACCCACCTGTAGGTACATTCAGGGTTACATGAAGACTGCCTGATTTCAGGACTTATTTCCTTTATTTGCATAATGCTTGTCCTCAGTCCTTAAGATGTCCCCTTCAGCATTTCTGAGAGTCCCCAGGGAGTGTCTCACTTGTGATTAAGAAAAAATCTAACTTTATTAATTCTCTCACTGCCTTGTAGACACCACATTTATCCTCCAAGGATCACTTACTCTCCTAGGTCCTGTTCCTCCATTCATAACGTTCTTCAGCAAACCCCCACTGCTGCTTCACTGACCACAAAGGACTTTACCACACTCTAGAGCATTTCTGAAAATTTCACAGCAATAAAGCTCGGTGGTCTATGGCAAACTCTCTGCTGTGGTTACCTCTCTCTCCCTTGTAACTTTTAATCTGAGGTGTTAAAAACAGTGCACTATGTGTGTGTGTGCCTTAATATTTATAGTGTTCACTGAATGATTTTTCAGTTTTTACCTGTGGCTCTCACTTTGCCTAGGACCCACACACGCATCTATGGAATTTGGCTGGGAACAGATATGAGTCATAGTCGCAAAGTTATACTCGGAATCCATATTCTCCTCTGGAAAGAAACTGGGGGGCTCCTTATGACTCCCACCTTCCATCCTTAGGATGAGTTCTCACCCAGAGGACTCTATAGCCCTCCTTCAATTAGACTGCTGTCAGGGTATCTCACAATTTATTCAAAATGCCTAGTGGCCCAAGCAGGAGACAAAGCTCAAGCTCTTTCCTATAGGCTCTTCAGGTTCCAGGAAAACAGGCTGGCTTCACAAATTCCCCAGACATGCTTGGACAGGCCCAGATTCAAGCTGAAACTCTGCTATCTTGATACACAAAAAAAATCTTCAAATGAACTCAGCTGTAACAAACCTTCAAACCACATAAAGCCATCCCAACCTTTGGCAATAAACACAGCCAACAGCAACAGAGGCCATGAGGTGACAGCAAGAGTAACTTAAAGGCCATGAAAGGGAATACAGAAGCCAAATACCTCACAGGATACTCTGCCAAGAACAAGAAGGAGTTTGAGCTTCTGACAATTCTGCTGAAATTCCTCCATGATACTCTTCAAACTAAGAACACAGGTTACTTGACATTATACAAATATATAGAAAGACTGGATATATAAATCATTAAAATAGTTGTGTTTGGATGATGAAATTGTGATGCTTTTTCTAAATAAGGTTTAATTTGTATATTTTGCTACTCTGTTTTCACAATTAAATGGCAAGGGAAAAAATGAAAAAAAAAAAAGAGTCTTTATCTTCTGTAAAGAACCTCATGATATGGTATGTGAAACCCAACCAGACAACATATTAGAAAGTTCCAGTCGAAGTTTTTGAAATCAAAGAAGCCATGTGCATCCTTCCTGTCTTGAAAATATTCCACATTTGTGGGATCTTAAAAGGAACCCTGTTTTTCCATTTCTCTCTTCTTAAGCTTAGATCTAAGTTAAAATCTCAGATTCTGTCTATCCTGATTAATGCCAGCTAAGTCTTCAGCTATGGAAAATATGCGACAATGTTTTTCTTTAGGGGACTATGTGTTTTTTCCCCCAGTAACATATCTGTGAGATTAAAGTTTCCCCATAAAGGATCATCAAGGCAAATACTTAAAGGTAGAATATGACTAAATATTTTTAGCTCACTGTCTTTCCCAAAGTTGCCTGCTGATGGAGATTTGGAGAGATGAGGAAAACTTGATCCAAAATTAGATTTGGAAATGTGTTTATATTTTCTTCATGCTTTTCCCAATAGTTTTGACTTTAGTACTGGTAGAGGGAATGCCATGTTACTTGACCGCTGTATGAAAGTCAGGAGACCTAGCAGGGTTTATGCACAGGCAGTTATATAACCTTTGGCAAATCACTTTACCTGCATTAATATTCCAATCAGCAAAGTTAGAATACCACTCACCCTAATTACCTTAGAGGATGGTGGAAACGATATAACAACCTGTGGAAAATCTAAAACAGGCATGCTCTTCTTTTTCCTGGAGTGATTATTTGTAAACCTTCATGAATAGAAAGATTGCTGTGATTTAAACTCCAAATTCTTTTTGCCACATAATTTTAACATTTTATAGGTTCTAAATTGGATGTTTCTCAGCAAGGTCCATTGACCACCTGCATCCAGATCATCTGGGTTGCTTGTTAAAATGACAACCCCTCCACCTGCAGGCAATCTCTCCCTCTCTCTCTGTCTCTGTTTCTCTCTCGCTCTCTCTCTCTCTCTCTCTCTCTCTCACACACACACACACACACACACACACACACACACGCAATGAATAGGAACCTCTGGGTGTGGCACGCCAGCACCTAAATTTTAATAAATCTCCAGGTGATTGTTTCCTTTAAACTTTGAGAACCACTGCTCCAAAACACCTAAAATATGATGGCTCCACTAGAATGTTTTAGCTCTATGGTACACTGAAGATAGTCACAGCTGAGAATGTCTCTGGAGGAGGAGAGATTAAGAGTGGGAATAGGCCTAGGGTCAGGAGAGGACTTGTTTTCACGTTAAGGTTTGTAGTCTGGGGCCATGTTTGGTTGCCCAACCATCCATTCTTCTTCACCCTTTCCTAATTGTTCCTGTACGTGCTGTGACTTTCCCCCTTACTCCTGGGGAAAACTTAATCCCATCCCCTCTTCTGTAGTGATTGATTAATGAAGCCTAGAGACATGGGGAGACACTTGTCAGGGGCTTCTGGGATAGCAGCA